TTTTTTTTTTTTTTTTTTTTTAAATATATGACTAATACAGTTTTAAAAAACAAGTGATGTCACAGAGAATAGCAGGGCAGGAAGCTTCAGGGATTGATTGGTTCTTCCACCAAAACCATTAAGCAGGACAAAAAAATTGGCAGAATCAACTGTTTTCTAACATCTGTCACCTAATCAGATGCTTATTGCAACCAGGGGCAGGCTTGATGATGCAGAGGCTGCAGCTCTTTGGTAAGAAGAGGGTGTGGGTGGAGAGCCTACCTACCTGCTACAGCCTGTTCTCAGCGAGGACCCTGTGCGTTTGGTCAATATGGTGGTGCCCTGAGGGACCAGCGTAGATGCATGCCTTTGTTTCCACCCTGTCAGGCTGCAGCAGTTTCCCCAGTACCATCAGAAAATTTAGAGACTTTTTTTAGAAAAAAGATCCAGATACTGAACCCAGCGTGGGTACTCAGGCCTGTAAACCCAGCACTTCAGGAGGCTGAGGCGAGAGGATTGCTGGAGCCCTGGAGTTCAAGACTAGCCTGGGTAACATAGTGAGACTCCGTCTCTACAGAAATAAAAATTAGCCAGGTGTTGTGGTGCATTCCTGTAGTCCTAACAACTCGGGAGGCGGAGGCAAGAGGATCCCTTGAGCCCAGGAGTTGGAGCCTGTAGTGAGCTATGATTGTACCACTGCACTCTAGCCTAGGTAACAGAGTTAGACCTCAACTCGAGGAAGAAAAGATCCAGACATTTACGGAAATCTCTGTCAGGTTTACAGACTGACCAGAGAGACAATAAAAAGATCAGTGAATTTTCTAAGTTATTTTGCAAAGTCTGTATTCCTGAACTAGTATCTGGGCTTCCTCAGTGACAGTTTCTGTCATATTCCTTTTTTCCCATAAGTCAACCATATTTTCCATTTTATTTGTGTGCTCTGTAATTTTGTATTGAGGACTGTTTGAATATGACCATTAGCTCTGGAAATTAGATTATCCCTCTCAGGGATTGGTTTTGTTACTTGTTGAGGGCTGCAGTTCATTTGCATAGTGAATTTTCTAAGTTATTTTTGCAAAGTCTGTATTCCTGAAGTCATCTCCATAGCATAAAAAGTGCAAGATGAAACAGCAAGTGCTGATGGAGAAGCCCAATGAAGGTGGCTTCATTAAACAGCAGGTGTTCAATGCAGACAAAATAGCCTTACACTGGAATATGATGCCATCTAGGACTTTCACGGCTGAAGAGAAGTCAATGCCTTCTTTCAAAGAATAGGCTAACTTGCTAAGGACTAATGCAGCTGGAGGCTTTAAACTAAAGCCAGTGCTCGTTCACATTGTGAAGAAAATCTGAGAGCTAAGTGTACTCTGTCTGTCCTTCGAATAGAAAAAGTATGGATGACAGCACGTCCGTTTACAGTAGGGTTTACTATTTTAAGCCTACCCTTAAGACTTATTGTTCAGAAAAAAAATTCTTTTCAAAATACCATTGCCAGGAGCAGTGGCTCACGCCTATAATCCCAGCACTTTGGGAGGCCTAGGCAGGCAGATCACGAGATCAGGAGTTCAAGAACAGCCTGACCAACATTGTAAAACCCTGTCTCTACTAAAAATACAAAAATTAGCTGGTCATGGTGGCGTGCATCTGTAATCCCAGCTATTCAGGAGGCAGAGGCAGGAAAATCACTTGAACCTGGGAGGCAGAGGTTGTGGTGAGCTGAGATTGTGCCACTGCACTCCAGCCTGGGTGACAGAGTGCCTGGGTGACAGAGTGAGACTCCATCTCAAAAAAAAGAAAAACAAAAACCCCAAAATATTACTGCTCATTGACAGTCCTGACAGTGGACCTGGACAGCCCCGAGATGCACAAGGTAAATGCTGTTTGCATGCTGCTAACACATCTGTCCTGCAGCTCATGGATCAAGGAGTCATTTTGAATTTCAAGTCTTATTATTTAGGAAATACATTTTGTAAGCCTATAGCTGCCACAGAGAGTGATTCCTCTGATGGATCTGGGCAAAAAACACAGAAACTTTCTGGAAAGGATTCACCATTCTAAATGCCATTAAGAACATTTGTGATTTATGAGAGGAGGTCAAAATGGGAGTTTGGAAGAAGTTGATTCCAACCCTCATGAATGACTTTAAGAATTTCAAGATGTCAGTGAAGGAAGAAATTGCAGCACGTGGTGATAATAGCAAGATAACTAAAATTAGAAGTTGAGCTGGGTGTGGTGGTGTGTGCCTGTAATCCCAGCTACTTGGAAGGCTGAAGTGGGAGGGCTGCTTGAGCCCAGGAGTTCGAGACTAGCCTGGGCAACATAAGAGACCCTTTGTCAAAAAAAATGTAAATAAAAAGAAATAAAAATGGTGCCTGAAGATGTGACTGAATTGCTGCAATCTCATAAAACATTAATAGATGAAGAGTTTTTCTCTATGGATGAGCACAGAAAATAGTTTCTCAAAATGGAATCTACTCCTGGTGAAGATACTGTGAACAACTGAAAAAGTTGACAAAGCAGCATCAGAGTTTGAGAGGATTAACTCCAATTTTGAAAGACAGTCTACTGTAATTTGGTGTCAAACAGCATAGACAAATCTTTCAATAAAGTAAGTCAATCAATGCAGCCAACTTCACTGTCTTATTTTAAGAAATTGCCAGTCACCCCAGCCTTCAGCAACCATCATCAGCCATCCACATGGAGGCAAGACCCTCCATCAGCTATAAGATTACAAATTCCTAAAGGGTTAGATGATCATTAGCATTTAACAATAGTTTTTTTTTCTTTTTTGAGACAGGGTCTCTGTTGCTCAGACTGGAGTATAGTGGTGTGATTTCTCCATCACCCAGGCTGCAGTGCAGTGGCTCAGTCTTGGC